TATTATTCGGTTTTCCTATAAGATCAAGAGCCACTTAGTATTCACAGCAATTTCTCACCAAAAATGCTTTTCCGAATATAGAATATATAACGGAAGCATTATTTCAGGATTTACAAAGATAATTTTATCCTTGGTATTATGTTCCATCACACAACCCTTGGTCCTCATGCAAGTAAACTTTTACACAGCATTGAAATTCACCGGTTTACATCAGGTTTCCTAGTTTTCGTAGTATGATGGTGCCTAAAACTGGGCTTCGGGTCTTAGGTCTTAGTTTTCGAGGGTCTTAGTTTTCGTAACACCCTTCTCAGGCCTTGCCTCTAATGAGTGAAGGGTAAGAAGAACTCCCATGAACAAGTATTTTAAAAGCCCTTTCAAAAGGATTTGAAGGGGTTACTCAATACATGATTATAGAAAAGGAATGTAGTGTGCATAATATTAATGTAGGTATGCGTGAAAAGGGCACCACTTTGAATTACAGAGGTATATGTGAAGGGTGCTTTTTCTGACATGAATGGCGATTGAATTGAATTGGCATTTAAAAAGGGTACAGTTTAGACCTTGGGAGGAGCCTCCCCATATTAAACATTGTTCAGCAGGGAGAGGGTTTATAAAAATTATGAAACTTTATCTTTTAATGCCGTTTAATTGTTTGTTCTTTTCCATAGCTCTCCCAAAGGTTTTGTTAAAACCAGGAAGGCACACGCAAGAAGGAGATAGTGTCAACCTGACTTGTAAAATTATTGAAGGTTTTCCTGAACCACAAATATCCTGGTTTAAAGATGGAAACCCTCTGTCTAAGGAGGTGAACACAACTTTGATCTTAACAAATGTAACAGTCAGGGACGAGGGAAGTTACACCTGCAAAGCACAAAATGCTGGTGGTAGTTTCACTAGCAGCATATACATCACAGTTAAAAGTAAGTTAATAAAAAATTGTCATGAATATACCAACAATTGAAAGCATCAGAATTTACTTTGCTAACTTTCTTCAATAAGATATTGCTTATTGTTGACAATATAAAGTTGGGCTTCCTATCGAAGGACGAGTTGTGACATCTTGAAATTATTGTCATTATCAATACTGTAAATACTGTACTGTAATTATAGAAACTCTGTAAATCAGCCATCTCTGTTGTTTGACTCCAGAAAATTTAATCCAAGTATACCTATGTTATGCACAAGTCACTGGACATTCTGAGGGGTTAGGAGTTTCAAAAGCCAAAAGGAGATGTGGTGGGGGAAGGGGAGGGTGGTCCAAACCAAAACGTCTTCCATGGGAGGAAAAATATGTAGATTTAGGCCAGCCTAAAAGCGTAGCTCCTGGGCCGGGTTGTTCAAAGCCCGATTAAGGTAACCCAGAAAAACGTAGAATTTTGATTTGAGTTTTGTAACTTTGCAGTGAGGTTTCTGAATATTGTTTGGCCTTCTGTTTTGAGTTTTAATAATCACCATATACACAAAACAAAACAGCAAAAAACATT